CAGATTAGCGCACCGTACCACGGCTCCGATACCAAATTGCAAGGAAGATGAGCAATAGCGAACTTCAGTAATCAAACAGCATCATGCACATGAGACCAGATAGTCGTGACCTCGAACCAAAAGTAGAATTGCAACACAAGTTTCACCAAATAAGAACACACCAAGAGCTCATAATTGACAATGCTGGAATAATCTCATCATCATCAACGAAGAACCAATGTTGATATCCTATCTGGCGCTCGACGCCCAGACTACAGATGGCGAATCCTATCTAGCCTACTCTACAATGTCGCGGGATGACGTCAACAGCTTCACCGAAGTACGAGCAAATCTCGGACAATGCCGTTGCCTCAAGCACCATGTATGTCTCTCGTATCACGCACAACCTCGTTCCCCAACTCACAGATGCCACTTGCACCCGAGGACCACCATGCGCCCCATCCAACATACAGCAGTGCAGCTCAGCTATGGCTGCCTGCTCCTTCCAGCTCGCCCGTGAGCGCGTGAGCCTGGCCGGCCATAGCGCAGCAGCGCTTGCGCACAAAGCAACCAGTGCTCGAATAACTCCAGCGTGGGCTGGCCCTTTCCTATATGGAAAATGGCCAGCCTGCGTGCGTGCAGCCTGGCTGTGCTGGGCCCTCTGCCAGAAGCTTCCAGTAGGCCCAGGGAGGGTCCTCAGACCAAACGAACTGGCCCAGGGCCACCGACAGTTACCTGTGCCCAACTGCCCACAGCCTGAGTTGGGCTTATGCTACGAATCTCGCCCAGGGCCTGACTCAGATGCATTTGATAAAGGAGGCCAGGGCCTGGGCGCTTCCAACCAACTGGCGCTGCACAACTGCCTGAATTTTCCCCAGTTGAGTAGTCCAAAATAGGCCTCTTAGGGTCTGTCGGGCCTGCCTTCACTTAGGGCGGCCGACGCTGTTGCAAATAGGGGCCCAGTAGGGCTTAGTGAGGCCTTATGCCTCACAATTTTTTGAAATAACTTCTTAATTCCTTTTCGATTTTTTTTTGTAATTCGCAAATACGTTAGGATTAATCAATTTTTTCTCAACATTTCCTTTTCGAAATTCGAAATTACTTTTACTTCATTCTTTTTCAAAAATTTTGAAAATACATTAGAATTAATTAAATTCCTTTTTGATTTTTTTTTTTTTCAAAATTCAAAAATAATTTTAATTAATTCTTTCTCTCGGATCGTAATTTTCTTGAAATGCGAAACCCCCTTATGATCAATTCTTTTTCGAAACTCTTTCATGAAATTCGGGACTATTTTAGAATTACTTAACTCCTTTTTTTCGAAATTTTCACATTTTCTAGTAAAATCATACCCAAAATTAATTTCGAATAAATTTAAACCCAAATAAAAATTTATTTTTCTTCAAAACTAATTGTTTCCTTTTCTTTTTCGATATTTTCAGCAAAAATTTCTGGAAATTTTTGTTTTGGAAGTTTCTCCTTCAGATTCTTTTTAATTTCTTTCCAAAGGCGTATTCTCGAATTAATTTCAAATAACTTTAATTAATTCGAATCGGAATTAATTTATTTTAATTCTTGTTTTGCAATTTTTTTTTTTTTGTTGAAAATGATCTTCTTTGATAAATCACTTGATGACGTTCTACTCTTGTAAATAGGACCCCCCCCCCCCCCCCCCCCCCCCCCCCCGTTCAACCAAGAACTCTCAACGCACAGCCGCTGACGCCGTCGCTGCTGCCGCTACTTCGGCCACCTCATCTGCTGCTGCCACCACTTCCTCCTCCACCATGGCCCAATCATCCAGCATTGATATGTCCGACATCCACACAGACTCCGTCGACAGCATCGTCCGCAACCTCGCAGGCGAGCAAACACTAGCACCCGATGCTGCCACCGATCTCGTGACACTCATCCGCATGATGACATCTCCAGTCATCCATCGACGATATCAAAACATTTGTTTCCACCATCTTTGTTTGTGTCACCACCATTGAAAATCACACCCTCGCCATCCAGGTCGTCACCACTACGTCCCCCCTCCCCACCTCGGGTGCCACCACCCTTCCCCCTCATCCACCGCTGCCACCACTTCCTCCTCCACCATGGCCCAATCATCCAGCATTGATATGTCCGACAGCCACACAGACTCCGTCGATAGCATCGTCCGCAACCTCGCAGGTGAGCAAACACCAGCACCCGATGCCGCCACCGATCTCGCGACACTCATCCGCATGATGACATCCCTCCAGTCATCCATCGACGACATCAAAACATTTGTTTCCACCATCTTTGTTTGTGTCACCACCATTGAAAATCACACCCCCGCCATCCAGGTCGTCACCACTACGTCCCCCCTCCCCACCTCGGGTGCCACCACCCTTCCCCCTCCCTCCGCTTCCACATCTACACCAATCACCTCCTCCCCACCATCCTCCGCCCTCTCCGCCAGCACGTCATCCACACCCCCGCCCGCATCTACCACTACCCCCACCATAGTCACCCAACCGACAAACCCGCATCTACCACTACCCCCACCATAGTCACCCAACCGACAAACCCGCATCTACCACTACCCCCACCATAGTCACCCAACCGACAAACCCCGTCGTCACACAATCGTCGACCATTCCCCCCCAGTCAAAACCCATCTCGACTTCGATCGTTATCACCTCCACCCTCCCAGATATACTCAGATTATTCCACAAGTTGTGTATCCCGCCCTTCCACTACTCCCCCCCAGTGCTCTCATCCCCACCAACCCCGCCCGCGATTTCACCCTGGTCGACTCTTCCTCTCTCACCCTCGATTTCAACGCCCTTGCCGCCACTACCCCTAGAGAAGGCAAAATCCCTCCATCCTTCCTCGCCAACGAGATTCCCACCTTCCCAGGCCAACCCCATGAGGATGCCTTCCTCTTTATCACCAAACTTCAACAAACCTTCTCCCTCCACAACATCCCTATCGTCCACTGGCTCCCCACCGCCGACAGCAGACTCCTAGACAGTGCCGCTAGCCGGTGGTACACCTGAATGACCAACCGCCATCACGCCAATCTCCGACCTCACACCTTCGTTGAGTGGGCCACCCTCATCACCTCCACCTTTCGTCCACAGAAAATGGTCAACGACTACATCGACCAATTCTGCCGCCTCCAACAAAACAGCCCCACCGATCGTTTTGTGCAATACGCCCGCTCGCTTCGTCAACATATCCTCATTGATATCGTCAACGACTTCGCATTCATCTCCCACGTTAAGCGCATATGCCGCAAAGACCTAGCGGCCGTCCTTGTCCGCGAGCCATCCTCCTCACTCGTGCCCTCCAAATTGACCGCGTCTTCTCCCCCTACAAAACCGCACTTACATCGGCCTCTCCCCGCCCTCAAGTCTTCCACAACATCGTCTCCGAGAACACCTCCTCCACCACCTCCTCAGAAGAGTTATCCACCCCCGACCCCGACACCCTCTCCACTAGACACCACATCGCTCTCCACTAGACACCCTCCAACCCGTCTCACGAAACTCACGCCGGAGGAGTGGACCTACCTCCAAGATAAGGGTGGATGTTTTCGGTGCCGACAGTTAGGACATCGGCAGACAAGCTATCCAAATGCCAGACAGTTCACATGTCAGGCACCTAGGTCCGTGGGTCCCCAACCTGCCACTTCGGCATTCTCCACTCTAGGCCCCTCCTCCACTTGAACACCGTCCCAATGATCACCACGAATCCGTCCCATCATCGACGACTACTCTTCCGGCCATCCCATCGGTGACGATGTCCACCCCACCGGTGACCCATTTGGCATCAACAATACGTCTACCTCCCCCCTCTCCGGTGCTGCACATCCCACCGGACGACCCCCAGGCGCTGCAACCCTCGTCGCCTGATGCCCCCCTCACCGCCAAATGTTTCGCAACCCTCCTTCTGAATCCATCGTCTGTCACCTTCTCTGATGTTATCGAGGAACAAGCCCGACTCGATCGGCTTGTCCGATTAGGCAATGAACAACGTCGCCTCAACACCATTATCTCCACCGCCAACTCATTACGCTTTCACCTCAAATTCATCGCCGCCACCCTTGGTGCATCTATGACTAAGTTTCGGGCCCTCCTCCACATTGGAGCCATCGGTAACTTCATCATCGACGCGTGTGTCCGGAAAGCCGGTCTTACCTCTACTGGTTACTACTCCCCGATTATGATTCGCTTAGGGGACAAAAACACCGCCGCCATAGTAGATCGCACAGTTCCCGAGACCACCATGACTGTCGGAACCCTCCGCAGTCAGGTCTCATTCGATGTCATGCACTTGGACATCGTTTTGGGAACAACGTGGCTGGACCGCTACATGCCATACTCGTTCCACCCCAACTTCATCCGCCTTACCAACCCCCCTAACACAACCATCCCCTATACCCCCTCCCCAAGCTTCGTCACCGCCCACCAATTCCTTCACATGGCTCGAACGTACCTTGACTCCACCTACTACTATTGCCTTGTCCTTGATCGCGAGCGTCCGGAGGACTTGCTCCGAACGGACAAACCCGACCCCGCCTCACCTCCATCCTCGACGAGTTCAAGGACCTCTTCCCCAAGTCCTTGCCTGCCGGATTACCTCCGGATCGTGGCGTTATCCCACACCATCGATTTGGAGCCCGGTCACTCTCCACCTTGCCGCCCTCCGTACCAACTCTCCGTTCCGGAAAAAATGAAGCGACAACTCGATGAACTCCTTAATAAGGATTCGGCCAAGTTCATTCCCCTTCAGCACAAGCTGCCTTTTTGTCAAGAAAGGCGGAACATCGGAACTCAGAATGTGCACAGACTACCGCGCCTTGAATCGGATCCCGATCAAGAACAAGTACCCCCTACCTCAGATCTCCGAGCTTCTTGATCGCCTCCGTGGAGCGAAATATTTTACCAAAATTGACCTCCGCAGTGGCTTCCACCAGATCCTTATCCGCGAGGAGGACACCCACTCGCTTCGGGCACTACCGAGTTCCTCGTGATGCCCTTCGGACTCACCAACGCCCCCACCACATTCCAATCCACCATGAACCACATTTTCCACGACCTCCTCGAAGTCTGTGTCGACTTTTACCTCGATGATATCCTTGTCTATAGCCTCACCTTCGAGTCCCACCTTCAGCATCTCCGCCAAGTACTCTGTATCCTCAGAGAGCAAAAATTCTACGTGAAGCTCAACAAATGCGAGGAGGACACCCACAAGACCGCATTCCATTCTCGATTCGGGCACTGCTGAGTTCCTCGTGATGCCCTTCAGCCTCACCAACGCCCGTGCCACATTCCAATCCACCATGAACCACATCTTCCACGACCTCCTCGAAGTTTGTGTCGTCGTTTACCTCGATGATATCCTTGTCTATAGCCCCACCTTCGAGTCCCACCTTTAGCATCTCCGCCAAGTACTCTGTATCCTCAGAGAGCAAAAATTATACGCGAAGCTCAGCAAATGCACCTTTGCCGCTTCAAGTGTTGAATACCTTGGCCACATCGTTTCCGCTGAAGGTACACGCATGGACACCTCGAAGGTCACCGCCCTCATCAAGTATCCACCACCCAAGACCCTACTCCAACTTCGATCATTTCTCGGCCTTGCCAACTACTACCGCCCCTTTATCCGCAACTTCTCCGACATCTTGTACCCCCTCCACGAACTCACCCGCAAGGATAAACCCTTCACTTGGAACGACCGCCGCCAAAACGCCTTCGACGCCATCAAACAACTCATTACCACCGCCCCCGTCATCAAGATCGCCAACCGTACCCGCCATTTCTACGTCACCACTGAAGCCTCCGACTTTGCCATTGGAGCCGTCCTGTCCCAACATTTTTCTCGTGACACCACCGCAACTCCCTCCATCAAGGAATCCCCTACCCACCCTGAGGCCCCACCCGGCGAATACCCCATCGCCTTCGCCAACAAGAAACGCCTTCCCGCGGAAATGAATTACCCCTCCAACGAGAAGGAGCTCATTGTCATGATCCACAACCTCAAAGTCTGGCACCCGTACCTCGACAGGCAATATTTCACAATCCGCACGGACGAACACCATCATTTCCTCTATTTTCACCAAGAAAGACATCACGTCGCGCCAACCCCGTTGGTTAGACTTTCTTGCCCAATTCACATTCACCATTTGCCACCCCCCAAGCAAAAGCAACTGCGTTGTCGATGCCCTTTCTCGATGCCCCGACCACAAACCCTCTGAGAAAGTCTACGGCGCCATGACTCATATCCAACTCCTCCCATCACTCCACCACCGCTACACCTAAGGCTACCTCTCTTGCGCAGATTTCTCAACAATCTAAAACAAACTTCGTGACCTCGACTCAGTCCCCGACTACTCCCTTCAAGGCCAACTTCTTTACATTGACACCAAAAGCACTCGCCGACTTTGCATCCCCGACGCACGTGGCCTCCGTACCCAGCTCTTGGCCGAGCATCACGACGCCAAGACTGCGAGACACCTCGGGTTCCAGAAAACCTTCGACACCATCTCTCGTTACTTCTACTGGCCTTCCCTACGCACCGACGTCATAACCTACATTCGCTCATGCCCCGCATGTCAAGCCGTCAACCCCGCAAACCGTGCCAAGCCCGGCAAGCTACAATCATTGTCGATCCCACCCCACCGGTGGCAGTCCATCTCCAAGGACTTCGTCTGTGGTCTCCCCAAGACCGACCGCGAACATGATTGCATCTACGTCATTGTTTGCCGCCTAACTAAACACACCCACTTCATCCCTTGGACCACATCGCACAACGCCAAGGACGTCGCCATTCTCCGACCATGTCGCACGCCATCACGATCTCCCCGAGAGCATCATCAGCAACCGTGATCCTCGCTTCCTTTCACAATTCTGAAAACACCTCTTTAAAGCCTAAGGAACCACGCTCAAGTATAGCACTGCATTCCACTCACAGACCGATGGACAAACCGAGAAGATGAACGATACTCTCCAACGAATCCTGAGGAAGTATTGTCATCCACATCTACACGATTGGGATCAGTTGCTCACCACCGCCGAGGTCGCCTACAACAATGTTGTCTGTCCTTCCACTGACATGACTCCATTCTACCTCGACCTTGGCTATCATCTGCGCTTGCCCTCCGACTTCCGGCTCCCCTCGCAACTCAACCCCTCCACCCCCTGCCCTTCCCTCAGTGAATGGGTAGCAACAATGAACAAACTCCTCATAGAAGCTACCGAAGCCCTTGAACAAGAACAATAAGCCAACAAGACCAACAAACACAGACGTGACATGTCATTCAAAAAAGGGGACAAAGTTTGGCTCTCCGATAAATGCTTTGAACCCGAACACGGCTTGTCCAAGAAACTCTCGAACAAATGGCTCGGTCCCTTCCCCATCATTGAACAAACCTCCTCCGTCAATTACAAGCTCCAACTCCCCCCTGACATGAGTCGTGTCCACCCTGTCTTCCATGTAGAATACCTAAAAGAATACCATGAATCCCCACCCCAATTCGTTGACCGCCCATATCCTAAGCCCCCACCAATCATGTTACCCGCAGCCCTGAATTCGTCATCAAAGCCATCATAGGACGAAGAACTACTCAGGTATCTGCCCACCCGGAACCAATCACAAAATAAAAGTTAAATGGACATGATACCCTGACGAAGAATCCACATGGGAAACTCTTGCTAACCTTAAGAACGCTATGAAACTTGTTCGTGCCTATGATTGTGCTCACCCTATATCCTAGATACATACTCTAACTAAAACCCTAAACCCTTGCATAAACCCCGCCTTGCCCCGCATTTCTGCTCTGCACACACACCTATACCCAGCAAAGCCCTTGCCTCTTGACCCCCCCCCCCCCCCCCCCCCCCCTGTCTGATCCGCTCTTGCCTCCGCCTTGCCCCGTTCTCCCATCTGTCCTCCGCCACATCCTTGTCTCTCTCGTCCAAGTTCTCTATGTGGTCCCTGCGCAGCTCAGTATGAGGAGATAAGACAACTGGTTGGCCACCATGCTGTTCCCTTTGGCCAGCACCTTGGACTCACAGACTTCTGGAGCAGCACCTCTAACATGGACATCAAGATCAGTCTGCGACCTGCTATCCGGATCAGACCTCGTCATCAGATCGTGTACCGGACGCAACCTGCTACTGCGACAATCAAGCTGAAGTCCTTGCCGTCTACATTACAGAACTGCTGAAGACTGTTTCCTCACCGCCACTTCTGCGACACCCTCCAAGACCTTCCTCTAGACATTTTTTGGCTTTTGACACTTTGTTACAGACCTGAGACGTTGTTTTCCCCAACACTTGAGCATTGAACAAACAGTTTTTTTTCTTTTCTCAAACCTGACAGCCTACAACCTTGTAGAACACGAATTGGACCTCCCTGTTACCTGTAGACCCTCAATAGGATTGCCCTGTTACTTGAGCATTGATTTCCTCATCCATGTAGAACCTTAGTAAGATTACCCTGTTACTTGAGCATCAATTCCCTCATCCCTGTAAAACCTTAGTAGGATAACCCTGTTACTTGAGCATTGATTCCCTCACCCCTGTAGAACCTCAATAGGATTACCCTGTTACTTGAACATTGATTCCCTCATCCCTGTAGAACCCCCATAGGATTACCCTGCTACTTGCATTACTCCCCCTTTCCTTTTCTGACCAGTGATCGACCCTGTCCCATCCTTCACAGTTGTTCATTGGGTCTTTGGCAGCCGGGACGTTGCCTTCCAGAGGGAGGGGATAATGGTACGGACTCAGCCAGGGCTCAATCCCTGGTCTGCGGGATACCACCCACCAGGCTGCTATTCTATTTTTTTGGAGTCTCTGATCTCCAGTTCCTGACTGTTGGCGCCCTCTGCAGTTGGCGCCCGTTCTCAAATCCTGCCTCTGGCACTTTCGGATTTCGATACTTTGCGCCATCAGGCATTCTGGCACCCAGGCTCAGACCTTTGATTTTCAGTTCAGCCCCGAGGCAAATTGCACTTCTGCCCTTGGACTCAACTTGAGTCCGCTACTTAAGATCGGACTCAAGCTGAGTTCCGACATTCAGTTTTCGGCCTCAGTGCGTGTGCTTCAGTGTGACTTGCTGCGACATTGTGTACGGAACCCAAGATTGCAACTTTGTGACTTTGCCACTTTGTGCCTGTGCCCGTCGAGTCGTATCGAGTCCTTTGCTACTTTGTGTCTGCGTCCGTCGAGTCGTGTTGAGTCCGAGTCGCGTTGAGTGCGTGCGTGTGTGTGCTCTCACTCCCTCCCTCTCTCTTCCCCGACCTCGCTGCTCTACCTCCGCCTCGTCCCAATGGTCGGTCCTCTGGTGCTGGTAGCGTACAGCAAAAAAAAAAAAAGAAGGGGAAATTCTCGAAACGCCCCTCCGACTCCCATCTATTTGCGGTATGCCCCTCCGACGGCCGACTTACCCTGTCAAGCCCCTGAGGCCTCTGAAGTTTCCTCCAGTCCCCTGTCAGTGAGGGTGAAACTTTCCAGTATGCCCCTGTGGCCGTTGGTAGCACTCGCGGCTGTTCCCTTGGCCCTGGGAGGGGAGATACCGGGCCATATTGGAAATTCGGAACTGGTACTGGTAGTGAAAGGCCTTCCACGATTCAGACCCCAAATTCGGGTCTCAGGGTCAGAGGCCCTGGCCAAGAAAGGCCAAGTTCGTCAATTTCAGAAAAGTCACGGTCGGGTACCTCAGCGGTCCAGTCCAACAGGCACCCAGCAAACAGTCACATCTCAGGGAAAAGAGTCACGTCTCATAATGAAAAGTCATATTGACGAGTCACATCCCACGAGTGAAAGGGCAGTCCCATGGGCAAGAGTTGTGTCTCGGAGGCAGGAGTCACAGTCCACAGTCAAAACCATATGCTAAAATCCAAAAGTCATGACGCAAAGGCCCAAGCAGCAGCAGACCTATGGAAATTCGGGAAGGTTCCAGACCTTGACATTCGAAAGCAGACAGGCTGTTGGGATCTGGTATGGGAACCAGTCAGGTCCCAAGAAACAGAGGCTGGCACGAGTTGAAGTGCAATCCAAGACTGCAAAAGGACTGGCCAGCCTCCCATTCAGGCAGATTGCTCATTCGCATGAAGTGTGGAAGTGCTGGTGCACTTTGCGCTATTGTGAGGAGTCGAGCGCTGAAGCCAGAGTGCTGCGCTGAGAGAGAGAGAGAGAGAGAGAGAGAGAGAGAGAGAGAGAGAGAGAGAGAGAGAGAGAGAGAGAGAGAG